ATTACTCATCGTAGATACAAATAAATTTGAGTAAACACACAAAAAGCAATAACTGGAAAAAAATAATAAAACGAACAATAATAATCGACTCATTTACGTAATTCGCAGTTTCATCATAAATGCCACAGATAAAATCGTAAACGTGTTAGTAAACAAAACGAAAATGCATTTAAAATGTAAACACCTTATCGGAATTAAATAAATATTCAATCATATGTTCGAAAGACAGATGTAAATATTTTTTGAAGGAATCACAAATTTTGTCTAAGATAAGATATTTGAAAATGTTTTGAAACTAAAGTTCAGAGTCAGCTCAACTCAACATACCCTCTGCCCGAATAAAAGTATAGCCCGATATTATACCGATAGCCCAAATAAAAGTAGATTATTTAGACAAAAACAAAACAAAAAACTAAACGAAACGAAAAAACGAAAGTTGATATCTATACTCAATTCTAATTACGTTATCCTATTTATTTTCATATAAGAACCTTCGGTAAAATTCCGGCATCATTTGTTTAATTAATTATGATTATTAAGATTGGCATAGTGCTGAATCACAAACAAACCAAATGGTTCCAAAATAGAATTACCTCAACAGTACCTGTTGATTTCGACGGGTTTAACCTTGTATTTTTTATTTTTTTTTTGTATTTTGTATATTGTATCTTAAACCGATGCTTGTTGTGAAATCTGGACATGCATAACTTCAATTTGAAAATTCAACCATGAAAATTGGTCGAGTAGAAGAGCCAAACGAACTGGGAAATGAAAAACTTAATTTAACTACCAATAGAGCAAATTTATTTTACGTATAATCCGGGTTTGGACTGTAGCTACATATATTCCAATGCTTGATGCTTGACATCTGTGCGTACATACCCTCAATTTGAGACCTCAATCTTGAAAATCTTAGTAAAATATTTTAAATTAGTCTTTCTTGTTATCGTTTTCATTCACAGATTTCTCTATTATTTTTCCTATAGTTGCACCTACTATGCCCCCTATCACGGTAGTAAGTGCCCGTTGTCTTCTCCCAGCCATTGATCCTATTAATCCTCCTAGGATACAACAACATGGCGGGGTTTGGCCTATATTCAGCGTAATTATTGACAATGGCTGCTTATTCTTGCGTTCGTCCTTTTCTTCTTGTTTCTTGCCATTTTCCTTGTCTTCCATACTCTGAAACGGAGACGCTAGTGATAAGGAACTGGCGAAAAATATCTTATTTGACAGTATTTTAGTTAGACTATACAAATTGCGTTGAAAATCGGTAACAAATTAGGTTAAAAAATAACACACAAAAATGTAGGTAGGTACTTAAGAGTAAAAAAAAAAAAAAAAAACATGGGTGACGAAATAACAACAAAATTTAAACAGAAAATCAAAACAAATGGAATAAATTCCAATGATATATTTTATTTACAGCGTGGGTTGAAAATAATTAAGTCTGTACATTACATATTTTTCGTCGAGTTTTCCACCACTGGACCTCTAGTATTTAGTAAATGGAGAAATTAAAAGCCTCCATGAGTACGTGTACATGTCTATCTGAGATGCAGCTTTAATGCAGTATGCATCAATTTATATAAGTTAGTATTTATATACGTAGATTTCTAGATATAGTCTAATGTCTAATTGTCTTTATTAGATGTAAAAAAAAACCTAAAATGCTACAGAATTTTGATATATGGTATGATCCAGTTTAGATTGTGCCCGGTAATCTTTATCTTAGAAATAAATAAGATAACATTGTTTAAAATCAAAAGTTATATAAACCTATGGAAAATATCATGTCATTCCAAGTTAACGTTTAGTAAAAATAAGATATTTATGATCATGAACACTTTATTGGAATGAGAATAACCGCCTGCATAAACTGCAATGCTACTGGTGAAACTTATACTAGAGTAGTAATGCGTTCAAACATTTGCAGGCGCTCTGAAAAGCCCATAAACTGGCTTATAAACATGTAACAATGGTAACAATATGTTTGATTCAACCTATTGCCCTAACAGATTATGTGTAAAATTCCACAGAAAACATACACATTTATTTAATGATCGACCAATTTCATTTGTAAGCTCACATTTTTAAATGACAAAAATTATTTTTTGTAGTGTTTCATACGTCAAAAACATATGAAAAATAATTTATAGGCTTATTTCTAGTAAATAACATAAAAATATGAGTTTTATTTCTTATAATATAGTTTAATTTAATTTCACAATGAACATAAATACTTACTTACACCGTATCATTGATAATAGTCTGCACATTGCCATTTAACATAAATTACATTGTCATTAATTTAACAAATACCCCCGCCGCAGCAAACCTGCCGACTAAGCGAATTTCCATTTGTCTAAATTGATTTTCAGTTGAATATATTTTAATAACATTAGGTTTAACGAGTACCTAGTTTTGCTGCTACAAGGAAACTAATAAAGTGTGTTTTTGAGTAAAATATTGATAGCTTAGTAAAAAATAAATAAATTTGCCAAGTTTGATCAAAATATATCCATAAATAAGCAAACTACAACATTTGACAATATTCTCCATAAGAATAACATGGGAATTTAAAAATTTACATTTTTTTTTAATTTTCTTCGTTACTAATAATCGAACAAAAATACTTTTATATACTAAGTTTTTTGTTTTTTTAAGCTCTTTAAAAAGGTCTAAAGAGAAATCGGGAAATTTTGTGTTTTGAGGGTCAAAAGTGAGAAAAACCAATTTTTACCCCATAAAACCCCCCGTAAAGCCCCGTTCCCATGGTCCGATCGTGCTGGTTTGCGAACTCATTCAAGTTTATCCCGCTTTACACCTTTAAACCAAATTTCATCAAAATCGGACAAAAATTACTCAAGTTATCGCGTTCACGGACGTATATATATATATATATATAAGTCTATATATATATATACATATATAAAAATTTGAACGAATGGTGTTTTTGGCTTCTGGGGACATCAAAATGAAAAAGTAAATCGGTCCCGGGTCTAGGTCTTACCGTGCCACCTACGGTAATAGCTACTTCCCTATAGGGAAATTCGCTAAAAGTAAGTCAATGCTAGCTTTATAACCAAAACTCTACCCTAATCTCATTGACTTTGGATACTGAAAGGATCCTTCCAATCCTATGTAACATTTCAAGATAGTTTTTATATAAATCTTGCAATTCTTGTATTGCCTGAGATGATGTCGACTAAAAGTTCTTATTTCATGTAAGTAGAGTACGCTTTACTCTTTGTTACAATACTAGAAAACAATGATTAGTTTGTAGATTATTTTGTTAAAATAGTTTGACATAAACATATCGAGATGTGGATAATATTTCTATGCAGGGCCGGATATACAAAATATGGGCCCCCTGCAAAAGTCCTCCAAGGGCCCCTACAGCTGCGTACGGGGCTCCGGGGGGTTTGGGGGTGCTCCCCCGAAAAAAATTCACATTTTTATAGCCGTTTGGCGACTTTCTAAAGCAATTTTTAACGCCTAAAACTGTGTCCAATAATAGTCCAAAAACTCCCATTTCACCTGTTGTTTGTCACGAGCAAGTAGACATAAGTAGAGTAGAGTAAAGTATATTTTTTAAATAGTTTTTACCAATTTATTTAATAGGTCAGATTTATTATCCTAATAGAACTAGGCCTATATTAAAATATGAATAGATATTGCAAAACATAACAACTAATCCTCTATTGTGGTTTCTATTTCATAATTTAACTTGCACTTTTTAAACCTTGTTTTAATTTTTAGTTTTAATCTAATTTCTAGAAAATCCTTTTCTACTCTTGCATGACTTTTGAGATTGGGTTATAAACTAAATCAGGTTTTGGCGGGCCTAGCTAGCAGCTTTAACCACAGATAATATAACCCCTACTAGTAGGGGTTATATTATCTGTGCTTTAACTCAACTCTCTGTTCAAAACTTACAACCTCACCACTGGCATACTTCGTAGAAATGTTTTTCACCTAATTCATTGTTCATTAATTCGCACTTAACTACACTTATAACGAAAAGAAACAGAGGTACAGGTACAACTGTGTATATTAATTAATTATTTAATTTAACAACTATAGAATACCGGCGGCACAGCACGATAAACATAACCTCACAAAACTACAGTAGTATTCACTATTTTGACTGATCTCTAAATAATTGCGTTGACAGATTGAGAAAATTGAGATCGCTCGCTGCACCCAGCGCTTGTCGTGGCAATAGTTTAAATTACTGTTTGGACGGAGTCCCAAACGCCTTCGAATTAGGTCATTAGATAACGCTACAAAGATTAGTACAAGTAAGTCCCTCCTGTACCACGACAGACTTATGACTTGCTCAACTGATGTGAGAGTGAGTGCTAGTGCTAGTTGACACTTCGTCGTCCACGTCGCTCGGTCCGATCGGACTGTAGTGGATCTGTGAAGCTCGCCATGCAGCTGACGTGCTGACTGGACTGAGCTGACTGAGTAAGGACTGACTGAAAGTGGCGAGATTGAACTGTCTAGCTAGGGCGAGGTCCCGAGTTGTCGACGAGTAAAATCACAAGTCTAAATTTACTTAATAGCCTAATTCTAACTTTAGTTTTGATGTTGACAATATTTATTTATTTGTCTGTCAAAACTAAACTTGCCGTCCTATTCAATTATGTTTATATGCATTAAAATAATTTTAATTTTTACGACCTCTTTGGGCCCGCCCGCATTGCGGGGTTTCGCGGTTCCTAGATCCGGCCCTGTTTCTATGCATACCTTAAAGCCTCAGTTTGCAGTACCTCAGTTGTCCATAAGGATGAAAAACATAAAAGGGTGTGTTAATACAATGGTAATGATGTACATTTAAAATCTTACTTAGAAAACCTTATTTCACGTCTAAAAACATTGGTATGCCTTTCTTGTAAGGCTTTCTGTTGAAACATATACTATTATTAATACAACACCTATTATATTGTTATCTAACAACTGATAATACAGACTTTGACCTTATTCAACTTCTCAACACAACTTCTGCAATCAAAGAATGAAGATGTGATGAATACCTTTTAAAGAATCATTGTAACTTTTCAGTAGAAATGGAGTTGGATCCAAAATTTATGGATGGATGCCCGGATCGCAACAGAGATCCTAAGTTATACACGTGAGTTAAAACAACTTGTTCAATTAATGTTAACAATTAAAGAATTGTTCAATTAATTTATTAAACTTAATTAATACAAATTTTCTGGATGTGTTGGATGTATACAGATATATTATTATTTGGTCAATACTTGGATTACATGTCTCATAATCTTTATATACCGATTATAGGACTATTGCTTGCTATACAGTTAAGTGTTTGGTGCACAACTAATTGCTTGGCACACAACGAATTACATGAATCAACAAAAGCAATTAGTGCTCTATTTTCTCTCCTAGTTTTTGGAGGAATAATATGAAAATGTGCTACGAAAGTTAAACAAGAGTAAGGAAAATGTTCGTTTGCTAATGAAGTTGATGAATAATACGACACAATATTAAATTATTTCTTTAGGACGCAAATCTTTCTAGTTAAAAACATAGTTTCCTTGCTTGAGCCGGGAATTACTTACGATCGTGTAATAAATTGCTCCGAAACAAAAATGTCTCGTAACATTTTACGTTTAGATGATACTTAAAGTTATTCGAAATCAAGTAGACTATAAATAGCTGGGGAAAATAAACTTGTAGAATCTGAAGTAGTTGCAAGACAATAAAACATTATACAAGTACTAGGTTACTAAACACCTAATAGTTGAAAAAATAACCCAATCTTTCTTCTGTAGAATAAGCTATCCAACCAGGGTATTTATTCTAACATGATTTTGAGAGAAAAGTTTGCGTTAGAAGGATAACATGATAGCTTTGCTACTGACCAAGACCAGCAGGTTGATTAGCCATGACCATTATACATTGTTAAAAGCTCAACAATTAAGCACATCATTTTTGAGGTGTTGCCTCCCGGATTACTTTACAATATTATTCTAGATATACCTAGAAATACGTTATTGTTGCCACTGTAATCCACTGTGGTCTGGATGGCGACCGGTTTCGACACTCATGGTGTCATTGTCAAGCCATAAAGACGTGTTGTCACTCCTAGGAGGTCGTCATAAAGTCTTGAAAATAAATACACGAGAGACGTACAAACATATTTACAAATAAATAATACAGTATGGCCATACAAGAACACTATTTAATTCTTACGGCGCGGCTGCGGGTTCAGGGTGTATGTCTAGACGACCTCCTAGGAGTAACAACACGTCTTTAAGGCTTGACAATGACTCCATGAGTGTCGAAACCGGTCGCCATCCAGACGACAGTGGATTACAGTGGCAACAATAAGGTAAATACCTCTAGAGGTTAAATAACCTCTAGAATAATAATTAAGAACAGCTTGGTCCAGTTTACAGATATCAAAAAAGCTACTGTAGTGATTTTCTCGAGGTCTAACTGGCAAACCCACTGATTAGTAGAACTAATTCAGCCATATCAAGATGTGAATAAATTGGCTGAATAGTTGGGGTGGTCATAGTGCTCGCCTTGTGAAATCTTTTAGTCGCCGGTGTTGAAAGGGATTTTCACCTTTCACCTTTTTCCCTCCAGATACATTCCGAAGGGCATCAACCCGGCGAAAGCCCATTACATCGCCTTTACCATGGTAAAGAGAGCGGAGTGGGGAGCCCTAGAACCCAGAGAACCTCCTGTACCCATCAAATTCCCCCGTGTGGTCCTCTGGTACTACGACATCGACGTCAACCCCTGCCACAACGCCGAGGAATGTGTCCAGAGGGTCCAGGACATTCAGAAACACCACATGGATCTGGGGCTACCGGACATCGCTTACAAGCAAGTCCTAGAGTATTAGCAGAGCACCCGTCCTTCGTACGGGGTTGGCATATAAGTATAAAATACTTATTGCAGTTATACTCAAGCTTTGCGTTTGCAATGGGGGAGAACACGGTTTGATAAAATTTGCTTCTTTAAATTTACAGTATTCTATAGTATTACACATCTACCATAGCCATAAAGCCATAATGTTTTACTACTTCACCTAAACAAAAGAGAAAAATAAATTATCAAAAATTGGCAAAATATCACAAATTATTCATGAAATTAAAAACATAAACATAACTGTAAACAATCCTACTTTGACGGTTAGTTTTCATTGCGTATCACAGTTTTTTGTTGCTGCTTAGTTCAAATAAGCTGTTTTCATAAATGCAAAAAAAAAATAGTGTGTCACCCTGTTGGTAAATCTTATAGCTTTTTAATGCTTTTGCATATCATAGAACCAACTTTTTTAGTTGAAACAGCTGACTAAATTCTTTAATTCCCTTTAAATATGAATACTCATAAGGTTAACATGGGGAACTACAGAGCCACTGGGGTGGAGCCCGAAGGATTTTTGAGATAAAAATATGCCTATATGTTAATCGGGAATATGAGCTAATCATCAAGCCAAATTTCAGCTCAATCCGTACAGTAGTTAATGCGTGATTGAACTTCAAACAAACACACATACTTTCACATTATTTATAACATTAGTAAGATAAGAATGATATCACATTTCACATTATAGGAGGCTAGTCTCTAGCCAGTGTAACGTTATTTCCAAGATTAATTACTTTTTTATTTTGTGCAATTGGTCTAAAGAGGAGACCCAAAAAAAAAAATTCATTATTGTTACAAAAATCACAGTTTATTTAAAATAAAACAATTTCTTCTAAAACACTTTCTACTTCACCTTTAAGAGCCCGAAATCAAGCTGAAATTTATTACTTCCATTAGTTTTTGAAATATCAAAAGAAATTAACAAATTTAAAACATTCGGCTAATATTTTTATGGGACATTTTAAAACAATTAATTCCTGGTACACACTTGAGCCCTGTGAACAAACAAACCCTTTCCTAGCTTACCTGTCTACAATACAAATACATATTTCATTAATGTTTCAAACTTCTTTAAATTAAATTCAAACTTCTTTAAATTAAAAGCTAAACAATTTAATGATATTCTTCAAAAATTAAATTAGGTTACATTAATTTCTTCTTGAATAAAATAAAATTTACAATTGCTAAACTTTTCTACAATCTCTAAAAACTTTATAGCATTTATTGTTTTGATATCCAAATTTAACTCTTTTAAAGAAATTTTAAAAGAATAAAAAGGTTTATATTTACATCTTTTACTAGTTGAAAGCAAAGTTCAATATTTAATATGAAAACATCTACGATCTTTCTTGTTATTACAATAATTAGCATAGAGAGAGATAAAAGTCAATGAATTAAAATAACATAAAATAAAATAAACTTACTACCGGTACTCATTGAGTAGGCTGCAGAAATTCACCCCAGGTCTGGACACTACACTCTTGAACTGGCAATCCCACATGGAAGCAGCTCCCTTATATAAGATATCTCAGTTCTGGAACCTTCTACCCCTACTCGGGCCAGCACTTGCACTGGACCAGGTGATAAGGAAGCTTCCAGAGCTTTCTTATCAAGATGTCTTGCTACTGCAGGCTACTCCTGACTATTGTGAATATAAAACTTCAATTTCAAATCTTTACAACAACAAAAAATAAAATAAAAATTATTTTCTCAAATTCCTATTGGAAAGTATACCATGTTACACCAGGAACCGTTTTACACGATATTTTGGAGGCAGAGTGGGTTGCGCCACTTTCACATAGCCGAATGGTAATTGGTGGGATTCGAATTAGAAACCACGGGTACTAATACACCGTGCTCTACTACTACATTAGCTCGCTGCCACGTACATTTGATTCATACAAAACAACAGAGTGGTGATGATGAGTGTTAAATGGATGTGATGGCAGTTTTGTTACGTACAGGTGAGGGTTTTTGTATTTTTTTTGGCCAGAAGGTCCATTTAACATAAACAAATTACAAAGAACAGTTAAGTTTAGTCACACTACTATAATATTACCAATTTTTTATTCACGTTACCGATTATATTTGAAGCAAAATATGAGCAAACGGTAACGCTAGGAACACAACTATCGATTTTGGACGGTTGATAAAAGTTGAGACCATGACTAATCCTGCTGTAAATTGAAGCCTAATAGATGTTATATAGTCAACGCTTTACGCTATACTACGAACAACTACGGTCTTGTTGAATAATTACTGAACATACTACAACGATTTCAAGATACGAGTATCAATTAATGGTAAATGTCAATGTATGTTTATTTCTACTGTACTTCAGTTGACATTTTCATGTTGTACTTGACAGTTTCCTCGTAGGCGGTGACGGGAGAGTGTATGAAGGAAGAGGCTACACCAACACCCCCAGCAAAGTAGGAGACAAATGGGCAAAGTACGAGGGAAAGAGCTTTGATGTCGCCTACATAGGTCGGTTCTCCGAAGGTAGGATGACAATTTGAGTAATCCTAGGTATAAAACACAGGTTTACTTGCTTGAACATTCATACCAAAGAAACCCTTCAAACCTTCCTTTTCTGATGGTAAGCTTTCACAGCTAAAGAACACTATCAAATTTCTGTCCTCAGAAGCACCTAGTCCTCTAACTGATGAAGGCTGACGTTTAGGGCCAGTTGCAGCAATCCATCTAGGTTTAAACCTGCACGTCAAATTAAGGTACAGAGAAAACTTGTATTGGATGACTTTGCACTTTCAGCTCTTTATAGTATGTTGTGCTGGTAATGTACTTGTGATGAGCAGGGAAGAGTCCGAGGGGCGAGCACTGTGCAAGAATTCCTATCGCAAGTGGCACACGGTGTTTGTCCGTTGTAGTACATGAGGGTATGTTGAACTTTGCCCTAGACACCAGCGACCAGTCCTAGATACCACTAGTGTTGAATGTCTCCTCTGTACCTTACTTCTCTAAGAAACTTGGGATTTCCCCTGAAGATGGATGGCTGTGACTCAGCCTAAACTTCAATTTTTTTCACAATTGCTTCTTCGTGGCCATCATCCAAAGAACAAGATATGATATGATCTTAATTTTATTTACAGACAGACCGGCTTATCCTGACATGGCGGAAGCAGGCCTCAACCTGATACAACACGCTGTTCTAGATCAACATGTCGACCTCTTCTTCGACTTCGTGGAGGACAAGAAGCGCTCACAGTGCATCGACGATTGTCCCTACCCCGCCCCTGACCCGGAGCCGGGCGATCCCATCGTGGACTTCGAGGGTCTCGGAATATGAAGGATTGAAATCCAAAAATCTGTCATTATTAGCCTTGCGTTCATCAGTGACCGTTGTATGTTTCGAGATTATTGTCTTCATGTGATGATTCTGGAGGGTTTGAGAACGTTGTAGGTTCTGTGGAACCAACGTGAAAAGATATAGAATACATTTGAAAGGAGAAAGACGGGCTTAAGAATATATTTAGGCTTGCTTATACAGCTTTTTGCTACTCAACTAAAGATGATACGATTATTACTAGTACTATTCTAGGCTTTTGCGAGAGATGCGAGTTTTATTCGGACTAAAAAACGTAGATGGTGTTAGCATATTGTTTGAAATAAAAAACAAAAACTACGGTATAGATAATTGATTTAGCATTTTGATGAACATTAATCGAAAGGTTAATTTCGATTGGATAAATATATGTGTAATATGAAATGATGTAAACTAGTTCGAGGTAATAAGTCAACAACAACAGAGCAGTCACACATGATCAGTACATTGTAAATATTAAACATTTTATCATAATCACCTGTGAATGAATCTACCTCTACTTTGTTAAATATCTTACCATTCCAATTATTCATGTAATCTGAATAGGTTTATAACCACAGCTATAAATCTTAACCTTGATTTTGGCCGGCCATGTTCTTCAATAGGTCCATAGTGGAACGTATCAAGCAAAACGAGGGTTGAATCGGTACAGTACAAGAGTAAACAGCGTTGATAAATACCTTTCCTACCACTGCATGGAAATGATCACATTGTCATACCTGTACGCAAAATAGCTCATTGCTACTCTACAGCGGGAATGGATTATTCCCACCCGCTAAATCAGATGATTTCACAATTTTGGTTTTTACACCACGGCAAGCAATTAACATAACCTTAAAAAGCAAAAACAACTTAAATTACATTATATATACTTATAAAAAGTTAATCTGTTTGCTATTATTAGTTGATTATTGGTAGGAAACATCTTGTGTGTATACTGTATAACGAGCAGAAACAGCCATTGCTGCTCTCGAAATGTGTGGCCACGCTCGGCTAAAGCATTCTGCGGACATCTACAATCTACAGTTGTTGAGCAGCTCTGCCGTACTTTGCGCTCTACTCAAATAGCTATAGTGACAGAATCAACCAGCTGAGAGTTGCACTACCAATTGAGTCAGAATACAGTGTATTCATTGCTTTTAGTAACTGTCAGCTTTACACGTAGGCAATACATTTTATATCTTAATAAAATCCAAATATTTAAGAAAGTTTAAAATATGCTATAAATATTTGTAAACAAATTGAGTGGATCAGTTTCATAAATATATTTATAAAAAGTGGTTTTCTCTACCGAAAATAATCTTATTTCTGTATTACCAAATAAATGTAAAAAAGTTGTTCAAACACTAAAACCAAATTTTGATAAAAGGAACGGGGGTAACTTTTGCTGCAATCTTAACAAACACAGTTTCAAGGGACACTAACTAAGCCTGAAACAAAAGAACATAGCCACTTGTTGGAAGCTAAGCTATCTCAGGACATAACTTTGTGTTAGATAAGATAACAATAACAGCTCTGTGTTTCTCAGTCAAAAACTGTTTACTTTATAACACACATACTTTGTGGGAAATGGGGGAGGTTACTAAAACATTTTATGAAATGCCATAGTTAAAGCAGTGATATTTTGATTGTTTACCTCCTGGATAGTTTGTAAGTATATATTTATTTTGATTTTACACTAAGTAATATATACAGAGACTATTTCAGCATTACATTTATATACAAATAACGCGTATTAAACGTGTGTGACTAATTCAAACTAGGAATAACAAGTCTTATTTAGTTTGTAAAATACAAAGATTTAATTCATTATAAGAAATGGAGTTTGTTAGCCCTTGGTTAGCCCTACCTGATATTTACCTGATATCTATACTATTATATAAAAATCTAATGGTGTCTGTATGTGTATTACTAATAGGTGCAAAAACTACTGAACCAACTGGGCTTAAATTATACAAAAATATAGCAACCATACCAAGGACCATAATAGGACTATTCACAATTCGATACTGACCAAAGGCTTTGCCCCTTTGGCTTTAAAAGTTCTGAAATGAACCTTTTAAAAGTAAATATTGATTGGTCTCCATGGCTGTGACGAGAACCCTAACAATGTTTGTTTACATTTGCTTTGACATTTAAATGTAAACAAGAAGAACTGCTAAACTGCATATTATTTCACAATTTCAGACAGCTGATTCAAAGAAATTAAATATAATATTTTCCATAACTATGAGGTAGGTTTATTTAAACTAACCTTTTATCATGGATTATTTATTCTAAAACTAAGTCAATGATTATAGAAAAAAAAGATTCTATAACCATTGCTGTATCAACTCCGGCTTTCCTTTGGATTTTTTAAAGTGTCTAAGTTATGAAAATAATGTTATTGATTTTCATGGAAACAGTATTAAAATTTCAAAGTATAGATGTTTTATATGAATTTGGAGGCTACTTTAAATAAATTCTAACTGCTTAACATGTGTTAGATTAACTTAACATAACTTGCACATCACATTGTTTTCTATAAGTATATTTAGGTAAATTAAGTTATTGTGTTTTGCTAAACCTATGCTTAAATTAAACTAAAGAATATCTTCAATAACTAAATTGTACGTCATTGATTTTTGTTTTCTAAAATCTGTTGTATATGTGTAACTATATTTGATTATCAAATAGTACAAAATACTGTTATTTTATCTTTCCGTAGCTTTCAGTTCACATTTCCTTTATTTGATACATTTATTATTTGTGTTTTGCCACACCACTGATTAAATTAAACCAAGGAAAATATCATAAAACTAAGCAGTACACAGTGTTTTTTTTTTGTTTCTAAAATCAATGAAATATCTGTAACAATGTTTACTTAATGGTAAGTGTGAAAATGTAAAGGCAATGGACGATGAAACTGATTAAAAGTACTGGTTTGTATATTAAGTTGTTTGTTGATATTTTTGTAGAGTAGAATCAGAGATGCAATGAAACATATACTGTATTTGCTATTACATTTTTTAGTCCTTGATGCTTTGATAATCATATTAGTTTTGTCTACTGTCTTTAATGCTAAATTATTTGTTTAAAATTTTGTATAGTACCTATAGACATAGTTTCTTTCATATTTCAAAAAACTATTGATAAGGCACAGCAATATTTCTAAAGTTTATAACAGCTGACTTGGCTAATGATTTATTGTGAGTGAAGAAACTGAAGATGGAAGGATTTGTGATGTAATATAAAGAAGAGTGAAATTTAAAAGAAAATGTTAATTAAATTTAATAATTAGTATTTTTGCAACTTCAAAATTGAAATTTAAAATGTCAATAATAAATTAAAAGATATGTAAGATGAAGGCATAAAGCATGTATGTCAATGTTTTATTTGAAGATTTGGTAAGTTTTTCTCATATCAGCCTACACAAGATTTAAAATTAATCAAAACCAAAATGGTGGTATCCACTACTTACCAGATTTAAAAGTCATATAACTTAAACGTTTCTATTAAGGCTACAAAAGTTGAATTTTGTTTCTAAAAGCGTTGGCGGAATTTTGTTTCTAAAAGCGTTGGCGGATGTGTAACTATTATATGCAACAGATGTAAAGATTAAAATGTTTCTATTTTGTGTCCTCTTCCCGTTGCAAAGCACGGGTACAACAGCTAGTATACCTATAATAATAATAATAATAATAATAATAATAATAATAATAATAATAATAATTGAAAATAACAAATTACAAATTTATAGAAGAAAAAAAATACATTGGATGCTTAATTTCAAGTTTCTTTTTAACAATCCTGATTTGGATTTTTTTTTCAATATTGAGGTTACCGATAACAGTTTTATGGGTAGTAAAATATAGGCAGAAATAACAATTTAATACCCACTCTCAACCCTGACGAGTCCTTTAAAACGTTTTTATAGTTAAAATTAACATTAAAGTAACATGCTTAGCTGTAAATTCTGTAATACTTACTCTGTTGTCCATGTCTTTTGCAGTAGAAAAATACACCACATCCTTAGTTTGAATGGTATGAAGGTATGGACGATTGTACAAATACAATAAACAAAAAAAAACTTAGTTACGGAGCTTTTCGACTGAATGACCGTCTTTCTTCGTAAGGTGGCTTCCACTCCAAAGGAATTATCGAAAAATTTAAGTTTAAACCAAATAACAAAGAAACTAAGTTTAGGTGCGAAATGTTATTTGTCTTATCACGACCATTTTGTAAAGAAAGACAACAATTTACAGCAATTTTGATCAAATAAACTTTTCAAAGTTTTGCAATTGTTGAATTTTCACCAAAATTGTTACTATTGAAACCCGATAAATTTATATTTGAGAAGTAAAAACGTCAAAGATCCGGTACAAATACTGGCCAGCGTTACATCAATCTTTGTGCTGAGCTATGTGAAAAAATTGTCCCCCAGTTCAACAACGTGGTCCCGCGAAGACTAAGATTTCACTACGGACATGACAACTTACCTACTAATTTTTGAAATAATATAATTTTAGGCAAAGTGACATAAAATGGGAGTGAAAACAAAAATAAGAAAGCCCTGGGGATTTAAGAAGAAGCCGAAGAGGACGCCGATCATCACCCGGGACCAGTGGGGGGCGACTGAACCCCTCTGGCGAGATACACTACAGGTGCCTGTGTTCAACGTGCTGATTAAATACTACACAGACTCGCCTCCATGTGACAACGAGGAGGAGTGCAGCGACAACCTCAGGATACTGCAGAGAAAGTGTCAAGACGAGCTGAGGCTGCCGGACATCCCTTACAAGTGAGCTGATATCTGTCAAAACTTGATTGATCTTGAATGGTTCTCTTGTGAGTGAGCTGGTAGCTGTTAAACTGTTTGATTGTTCTAATATCGTAGCTGTACAAATTTGAAATTGAACTACCAAATTGATCATTACACAATGATAGCCCAACAAATAAATCGATTTTAAAGTTGTCCCCTTGCCCCCGAGTTATTGGCTGTATTTGAGCTATTCCTATACCAGAGAGATTTTACATGTTATAACTGTTTGATTGATATATCCCCTAAAGTGAGCTGTTGTAAAACAGTTTAAGTTCACGGATCTTTAAGCTGGTTTCTCAGTAAGCGACCTGGTAGTTGTGGTATCAATTTAAATGATTTTTAAGTTGGTTCCTGTACTAAGTGACATGAAAGTTGTAGAAACAGTTTAGTTGATCGTAAATATTCTTTAGAAAGTGAACTGGTAGCTTTAGAAACAGTTAAATTGAGCTTAAAGCTGGCTGCCCCTAAAACTTGCTGATAGGCTGGTTAGCTGTCAATACTGTTCGATCACCTATTTCTACAATACATAGCTGGCAGGTTAGATCTAGGGTGATTGAGCTATTCCCTCAGTTACGATTATGTAGTTGCAAACAAAACAGTTTGATAACGAAGTTCTCTCACATGTTAGTATTAGCAAAAAATACCGATTGACCTTTAAATAGTTCCCAAAAACCTAATGTGTTGTTCTCAAAACAGTTTGACCACTCGGTACACATTCGGTAATAGTTAGACGGTTAGTGTCAACACTCTTTTATGATGGTTGCACCAAAATGATGTAATAATCTTTAAGCTTGACCCATAAAAGCTAGCTTGTAGTTGTTATAACAGTTTGGTAGAACTAACAAACAGTCGCTCACTCACACAAAGTTGTCAATATAGAGCTATTATTTTTGTAAATTCCACTTCCATTGCAGTTTCGTGATTGGTGGCGATGAAAGAGTATACGAAGGACGTGGGTGGTTCACGGCTCCTAGTAAGATGTTTGGTGAGGTCGCCCATTGGGAAGATACGAGTCTTGACATAGCTTACCTAGGCCACAGTGAGTAAAAGCTACCTTTACTTGTATACCAGAATGTTATTTCAGTTGGATTGGAATACATCAGGTTAAATGGCTACATGAGGCCACGTTACATTAGGTTGTTCAGTCTAGAAGTTAGGTAACACTAGGTTAGCTTAGCTTAGGCTTTTTAGGCATGTTACTAGATACAGTACAGCATTAGAATTTTTTTTTTGTCCTAGGACGCTAGGCACGGGCCTGGGATTGTTTTTCACATTACTTCAGGCCAGACCTAGGGGTTGCGGCATTATCACTTAGATCAAATCCATTGGTGACTTGGCGGGGATCGAACCCGGGACCTCACGGACCGAAGTCCCGCGCTTTAGCCACTACGCCAGCTCGCTCCCCACAGCATTAGAATAGGTTTAGGCTATGTTTGGCTAGGGTGGATATCTCTACCCCCCTTACCACAATGCAGTAAATAATTCTTTTACTGCTGCTTGTCTAAGAAGAGCATCTTAATTGATGGCTTAGCATTAAGTATGTCACTTGAGGCCGAAATATGCTTCAAGGTTAGAATGATATGTTATGCTAAGCTAGGTTATGTTATATGTAGAATGATTACTTTATTAGGCATAATCATGTTACCCACGTAAATTGTACTTATTGAGCTAGGTCAGGTATAGTAAGGTTGGCAAGACTAGGTTATGCTATAAAATGTTGGGTGGCTACGTTAGATAAGGTTATATCAGTGTGTTAATTTAAGAGAGAAATTAGGCAATCACCTACCTGACTACGGCGTGTATTAATTCTTACGTTCAGCCTTGTTAGGTATCACCATTGACTTTAAAGTCAATGGTATCACACCACATGCTTCATCACTTTTATGTGTCTAAAACTCTCTCGGTTACAGGAATGCCAGGTAAGCACATGACCCCAGCCTTGGGTGAGTTGCTGGAGTACGGAATCGACAAGAAGGTAATCGTGGGATTGTTCAAGTTCGAAGTTCTCTCAGGATGGGACGAGCCTCCGCCTCAAATCAAATTTCTTGAAACACAATTTTAAAAGTTGACTTTTAGGTTGGATGGGCATTAGGACCCAGTTACATGACGTCACCCTTATTTCATATTTTCTTACAACAAGCCCATTCATTTTTATAATAATAGTTTATTTGATTTCCTTCAAAATCTTCATGAAGTATTAATATTAAAATTATTATAGAGTAATTTTGAAGGGATTTTACAGTGAAGGTTGCTAAGCTGAGAACCTTTTAAAAAGGTAAGCTGAATATAAGTTATCACCAGTTGATCAGTGGCTTTTTATATTTAAATTGATGAAAAGGCGTTGAAGGTAATCTCTTGCAAGATACCCTCTCTCTCAATAATGACCAAAATCATAAAATCACGGTCAAAAACTTGCAAACATTAATAGAATTGCTGTGCACTTTTTGTGAATTTCTGTATTAACAACATTTAAAATGATTATCACCTTCTTAAGGAATGCAAACTTGTGCAAAAAGTGCATCTAAACCTCTCGTTTAATTGTAAAGTCTAAAACCTGTTCTAACGTATGTTGCATATTGGTAACTCTGAAGTGCGTTGATGATGACTAAAAGATTTTTTCAGGGAAAAATTAACAAATGATGCTTTATTATTAGATGAAATACAAGACGACGAACATTAGTGTAAATTCAATGCGACTTGTTAAAAAAGTTCTGAAATTGATTGAATAACTACAAAGAAATAACAAAAGCCCACTACAAAAACGGGACAGAACTAACCTTATAATTGCCATTAGCTGATCCACGAGGATGATGTTTAAGGAATCATCTTCGATTTACATTTAAATATCAACAAAACATAATACTGTATTATAGTTCACAATTCACAGTACTTTGTTCAAAAAATTAACTGTTATCAAATAATTATTATCAAATAATAAAGCTTGCCAGTTTTGGTTGACTAGTAACAAAATAATATATAAAAAAAACAGTGCATGATAGAACTAAAATATTGGTAACGATCGTAATATCTAGTAATCGTATGTAATTAATTATAGTTGTATTTTTTATCAAAAAGAACTATTTTTACACGCTTAGTAGGTTTGCATCATGTGTGATCCACATATTGTATGGTATTGTATATTAAGAACGTTCATCTGACCTACTAGGCTATAGTGGTGGTAGTGAGGGATGGTATAAGGGGGGAGGGGTAGTTTGTATTGTTGACGATTTCCCCTCCAATGCCATTCCCATCTGTCAATACACCTGTGATTCCTGGCGTAATTGAAAACTTTTCTCACCCTGGAAACTAACATTTTCTAGTTTTATTTGACAAACAATTAAAAATGTAGTAAATTTACCAAAGTAACTCTTTCAATAGGTTTTATGTGCTTAAAACAGTTTTGATGTGCTTTTTAATTAATTGTTCACAATTTGTGGTCTTGTGTTTTATTTTGTAAAAGTTTGATTGTTACGTGATTTTAAGTCAGTAACAAAGATAAGCGTAGCTATCTCATCCCATCCTAAATTGATAATTTAAAATTGTGTTGAATCACGCCCAGTTCAGTCCTAAAGAGTAAATGATGATTTATATCTTTCCTCCTACTAAAAATGACGCCTTTAGAATTTTGTAAAGGAAACACGTAGGGTTACAAACAAAAGACAATAATTTAAGAAAACCTTTGATCAAACGATTTTCAAAACGTAAAAAGGTGTTGATTCAGGAAAATAGTTAGTGAACCAAAACTTTGGTAACCAATTTTAGTGTATAAATTGTATATCTAGTGTAAGAACTCTCAGAACTCTTGTTAGCTTAGTGTACTAAAACCTATCTTTAAGAAAAAAATTTTAAAAATCTCTGGGCACTAAATAGTGCTTTAATGATATTTTCATAATCTAATCTATGTACAGAGTTGATTAAAGTAATAGCTGCATCCAAAACCCAAACGAACCTATTATATGTGGAATATAAAAGTGGTCTAACAGTATGCAGCGCCCGATGCTAACACCGGGCATTGTTGTACTCAAACACGCTTCAATTCAATTAAAGCTCACTTCAATCAAGACCAGATTATTCTGTCAATACGGTTTGTTGTTGCGAGTCCAGCAAACATATCCAAACATGCCGCAACATTCTCGTTCATTAATTGATCAAACATATCGATATTTTAATCTCCGAATATCGACATTGAATCGATAAGCTCCGCTGTAGTTGATTTACAATCTCACTCTTTGAAGTTTAAACGCACAGGTTTTACAGGTAAAAATTATAATTACAGTTTTGCTTCATAGTTTTTCTGGCTTTAGTCTCAATGTGTGATACTGTTTGGTTTTTGTGATACTGTTTATTTGTCTCAATCAAGGATAAGATAAAACAAGTAACAGTTTATTAGGAAAAATATGTTTACGAAAAAATAACTCACCCTACTTTACTGTTTTTACGTACAGGGTGTTTCAGAACTTCCTACTAACATTTTAGGGCATTGTTCCTGGGTAAGAATCATAACTAAATATCATATTTAAATTGTCCGGAAGTCCTTAGTTACTCACACAGCCACAGTTTGGTTTTTTCACTTATTAATTTGTTACTACAAAACGGTTAAACGAAGGAAATTAAAACTTTGCACAAAACTTCATGATACCTAGACAAAGCTACAAAAACACTTGGATAGTTTTTCAAATTCATAAAACAAAATGGCGGCCAATTAAAATGTTGGTCAATTTTGTTCAATTTGTTCAATTTTGTTAAAATCAACGGCTTTTAAGTTATTTAAGAAACAAAATTTTAAATAGAAATGAAGAGCATTTAAATAACTCAAAAACCATAAACTCAGCCCTCAGCAAAAATTAGGTTGTACATGAAAACATAAATAACATAGTTACTAATGGTTTTACATCAAAATTTTAAACAATACTGAAACCATAATGAAAAACATCTGATGATATTATGAAATCTAACATTTAACTTTTGCCAACTGATCTGATGGCAAATAAGAGATGAAATCAACACTCGCAGCTAGTAAATGTCATCGCTTTAAAAACGGGAGCCTACCAGTAGACCGACAAGATACTTGGTCGTCTGGCCACTAGACCGTCTTTTTTAATTAAATAGATAAATACTGAAAACCAGTACGTCGACAAGTTATTTCATCGTCATTCCAGTTGACCGGCCTGTAAAACTAAATTATTATATACGAGAAACCTACTTGTCGTCAATCGACCCGACCGACTTACCACTTGCTCGTCTTTTAGGTGGGGATAGGGGGCAGAGTGGGAGGAGCTAACCGGGGATTACCCAGGAGTTTGAGGCGCTTCTCGTGGTTGAACCACGTCGCTCGAGGCTAGAAGCCAGTCTTGCCAACTGAAAGTAGCCTAGCTCCGTCGAACACTACACACTCGGCGTGTTTATACAGTCTGGAGTTTAGTTGACGTTGGCGCGCAATTCTAATGGATAGTTTCGTCGTTTCTATAGCAACCGTGAAGTGACCTCGTTCTCGCGCATTCCTCTGCCTTTGTATTATTTAATCTGCTTTGAAAGATAAGACTCGCTTATGTGCATTGACTATTGAATCAAATAACAATATCATTAGGGGGTTTTGATCGTTTGTTTGGATAAAACTACGTACCGTATATTGTAGAATTACATTTGTAGTGTGGTAATATGGTGTATATATATCTATCTATATATTAATAGGCAAGCATGTTTCTTTAAAACCTTTTTTCTCAGCTCGTGTGTATCGTAGGGAAAATCTACGCATACCGTTAGAAAGCTATTTTCCTGTAGGTGTGCAGAATCCCTTTATAAATTAAAATAGGCTCAAAAATAAGCACAAAAAATGAATTTGAAATTTAAAAAATTTAAAAGGGGCTTATGGGTTGCTATGGTGATGACGAAATAACAACACAATATAAACAGAAAATCAAAACAAATGGAAGACATTCCAATCACATGTTTTATTTACAGTGTGGGGTGAAAATAGAGAAGTTTGTACAAAACATACTTTTGGTCGATTTTTCGACCACAGGGCGTGCTCTCGTATATAATTAATACGCTACATGAAACTTTGTCGGTTGAACTCCTCCGCCATTTCTTAACCGATTTTATCCATTGACATCTCATTGGAAAGAGCGTGTCGCGTAGATTTGCCAACTGGCCTTACATTTTTTACAAAGTTCCTTGGGTTCTGCCCCAGTGGCTTTGAAAGTTCCCATGTTATCCTTATGAAGAACATAATTGTTTACATTTTGATCAGCTGTATAATTTAATTACTGTTATTTATTTTTCGATTCAATGAAACGAATTGAGTAAATTTATTTACTATTTGAGTTTGTGTAAACATAACCCCCAAAACGAAAACGGACCGTGTTAGTATGGTTGTATCTTAAATTTATATATTTATCGTTGCTTTGTGTCGCTATGACAGATCGTGTTAGCATGATTGTAACTTAAATTTGTGCATTTATCGTTGTTTTGTGTAGCTATAATTTGCTTATTTGTTGTTTTTTTTTTCTTTTAAATGCCTCCGACGCGACAACAACGAAACATAGAAAGGAGGCGTACACGTCAGCACCTGACCCTGGACAATCTCAACTATTAGGTTACGAATGCGAGCTAACACTACCCCTAAGACTTTTCGTTCTCAATTTGACCCTCTATCAATCATCAATGACATGTGTTGCCTGTACAGCGAGGCATTTTGAGAAGGAGAAAACCAGCCGGAATGCTTAAGGTTTATCAATAACGAAGATCAGGGATTTAGGTAATCAGGGTCTGAGTTACACAATGGTAATATTTGAGTTGACTCTTTTTAAACTCTTTTTAAACTTTGAGTTAAACTTTTTTAAATATGACTGTTATTGGTTTTGAAATAACCCCTTTAATACTTTGCAATTGCTTGAATTTGAGCAACATGTACACTAGTATATATATAGGACCTGTGTATAATTTTGGGTAACATGGAGGTCAATTTACCTTGTGTAGGCCTATATCAAAAAAGTTTAATATCTTAAATTAATCCAAACGATTCATAGTAGCCAACAGGCACAAAGTATTGTAATTATGCAAGATGTTGTAAATTTCAAACATGTGTAACAGTTAAGTTTACTGCAACAGTAGTTCGTAAGGATTGCCTATTTAAGTAAGTTGTTATTAGGTGTATAAGTCGTTCATCAAGCGTCATGAGAAACGAAATCTGTTATAGAAGTGAAAAAATACAGTTACAGTAATCAAATGGTGCTGTATATAAAATATCTGCAAATAAAATTAGAGTTTTGTCTGTACACTGTTCAGAATGACATATTTTCCTCCTCGATAAGGGTTTACCTCCTCGCAAGTTATGTCAAAAAAGGTGTAATTGTAATTTTACTAAGAAAATTAAATCCAAAAAAAGGACTGGTTAATAGAACCAGATTAATGGCGAAAGTTATGAATGATGAAGTCTTGAAATTATTACTTGAAGTTTAGCTGGAAAACGAGTGTTCCTCTAAAATTCGTCCTCGGAAAGTTGGTCTTTATCTGCTAGAGCTGCATCCCCTGCTTACAGCATGGAGAATTGTACGTAACAATTTCAAGATGCCGCGCTTTTGATGATCTAAAAATAATGGTTAAAGAACAACGAAACCAAGGTCATTTGGCTGAAGACGTTAGAGTGTTTACAAAAAGACATGGTATGTGAAGAGTTTCTTATTTAACATTTTAAAAGTAAGATAAACATTTTAACTGGTCTGTCAGTCAGTATTCTAAGCCTACTCTGTTAAAACCTTTATTAAAACAGTATTGAGCTTAAGATTTTTATTTACGGTTAGTTAAAAGTTAAGCGCTTAAAATTCTTCCTTTTTTTGTATTGAGAAGTTAAAAGGTAATTAAATTTTTTTAATGATTTTTAAATAGGTACTGTATAGTTAATATTAACTGGAAACAACTAGTCTATACTAGAGTAACAAATTACAAAATACAATACAAAGGAAAAGGGCATTCCTATGAATGCTATTGAGCATTGATTATTTAATGTATTTGGGTTTTATGATGTATTACTAACCAAAGGAATACTTACTAACCAACCGCGATACCAGTGACTTAATAACGGTCAACAGATGTTGGGTATCACGAGCTTAAAGGATCGCTAGACAAAGTTGCCCGAATCGCATGGATGGTAAAATAACTTCTGGCGATGTCTAGAGAGATTGTTATTTAGAACACATGAAATCCTTTCTATAACATAAATGTCGGCTAATCGTGTGATTCCAAGTACTTTCGCCTGATTTGAAACATATTTCCAAGCCCGTGCCAATATTACTTGTTTCTGTTCGAAAAGGCCATTGCTGTGAGAATACCAGGTAAAACTAACATAGAAACTTGAAAAATACAAATTAACAATAAATTGGCAACATAATAAATATGGAGCATTACTGATATCGCAAGTAAAACAAAAAAGACTTAACTACAGTATATAAGTAATCGCAATGGGAAGAGAACGCGGAAGAAAATAATGTCTGTATATGCTGTATATGCTGTGTATGCTAAGATCTGTATAGTCCTTGCCTTATATAATTGACAAATGCTTATATTTGCTCCAAACAAAAAAAATACCAAACCCTTCAAATATTTAAGTTGACGGGAGCGGGACCTACCACTTCTAAAGAACGCCACCGTGTCTGTCATCCCTATTCTCTTACTTAAGAACACCCCTAAAAACCTTCACCGAATAAGTAAGGTACTATCGTAAAAATAACGAGGAACTTATATAAATCAGTTTTAATTTACAATTCTCTGGACGTACATCACTGTGAGAACCGAAGCCTCGGGGAAAGTCCACGGGTGCGGGACTTGCCACTAGGGCGGTCAATATCTTCAAAAGAACGCCACCGCGTCTGCTTTCCCTAACTTAACAACACCCTTATAAGCCCTAAATGAATAGAGACTATCATAAATATGACAAGCACCTTTTACAACTTCTTTCCATTTCCAATCAACCTGACCTGTCCTTCATCGGCGTGAGAACGAAAGTATTGGGGAAGTCCAGAGAAGCCTAGAACTGCGTAGATGAAAGAGAAGCCGCGTTGGATGACCTTGCCACCCCTTCGCATACCTTCATCAGCAATATCTCATAGTGACTTTTTACAACGCAATTTTTGTTGTCAATTTGTCTGATCTGAACAATTTAAATATTTCAAAATTAACTAAGCGAATAGCTGATTATAATTGATTATTTTTATTGGTATTTGTGTAGCCACAATATCCGGATTGAGCGTAGTAAACGA